TCTCTCTCTCTCTCTCTCTCTCACTCTCTCTCTCTCTCTCTCTCTCTCGCGCGGCATTGTTAGACGGCTGTACCCAACCCCCCCCCCCCCCCCCCCCCCCCCTCCCCCCCCCCCCCCCCCCCCCCCCCCCCCCCCCCCCCCCCCCCCCCCCCCTACTAGCTGACTTTTCCCCGGTACTTTCTAGTCTTCTTTTCAACTCACTTCCAAGGCCCTAACCATTTGAAACTACTTCAACCAGCCATGATAATCAACCCATTCGCCCACTCACATCCAAGCAGTCTTCCTTACCCTTCTTTCTCCAGCCCTCCCACCAGTTCAGTCCATCATGCTCCGCCCATCCCCTACTTTCTACCTGTTCCACGTGTTTCACCATTACCCCTCTTTCTGCTGTTTCCACCTTTCCAACCAGTTACGCCTGTTCCCCCTATGCTTCCCGTACCTGCCCCATACCACACAAGATCTCCCCTCTCTACCTATCGATCATAGATTGCCCAGACGGACTAATCTACCGAAACTGCCTAGTCTATCCATTTCCTTTCCTTCTTTACTACGATGACCTATCTCTAGCTTGCTCTCTACATCCCCCCGTTCCCCTCTCACCCATCCTCCTCTCTCTCTCTCTCGTGTATAAGAGACAGGAGAGAGAGAGAGAGAGAGAGAGAGAGAGAGAGAGAGAGAAAGTTGTGAGTGTGGGATGAGGTTCTTTCCATTGTCCATTTCTTTCCTTTTGTTCATATGTATAATTTTGGATCCGGATATGGTCGATTTTATATCGGCCTTTTTTTTTGGATTTCTCTTGTAAATCACCTCGGATTTTCCTTATCATTTTTACTTTGTATGCATGCATGGAATGGATGTGAATCCCCTTTTAGTAGCGATTTTTTCGGATTTCCAATCTTGTTTTGCGATGCCTCGTCTCTGTCTACTGTTCACTTGCGATTGAAAACGCTCGATTATGGACGTTTTGGTTTAGTCATTGACTTTCGATCAATAAGAGTGCCGTGAGAAGTTGATTGTATTGTCCTCTCCTTCCCCCTTTTTTTTTCCATCACATGTATGGTACGTAATGATCGGATCTCACCCGACGTAGCAGGGATAGGATATCTGCATGCATGTTGAACGTGATCGACACACTTAACCAATCCGCTGCTTCTCACGTGCACGCTCGCGTACGATCGCGACCTCGAGGAAGCCGAGTCGCCGCGTATACGCTCGTCTGCGTGAGTCAGCCTTCGACCACATATAAGGATGCAGGGGACCGAGTTTGCTAAG